GCACGTTTCATTAAATGAATTTAATGAAATTCTCCACTAAAAAGGCACCGATAATTAATTCTCTTAATGCCTAATTATTTTCTCTTAATCGTCTCGCCACTGCACGATGCTAAAAGCGAACAATGACTGTTTCGACTCTTCGACTGTTCGACGTCGCCGGGCAGCGACGAAATTCATCATTCCATCATTCCATCATGTCATCATTCCATCATTCCATCATTCCATCATTCCAACATTCCATCATTCCACCATTCCACCATTCCAATATACAATCACTCCAACGTTCAATCATTCCAATATTTCACCATTCCAATATTCAATCATTCCAACATTCAATCATTCCAACATTCCACCATTCCAATATTCAATCAGTCCAACATTCAATCATTCCAACATTCCATCATTCCAATATTAAATGATTCCAACATTCAATCATTCCAACACTCCATTATTCCAATATTTAATCATTCCAACATTCAATCATTCCAACACTCCGTCATTCCAACATTCCATCATTATATCATTACATCATTCCAACATTCCATCATTCTAATATTCAATCATTCCAACATTCAATCATTCCAATAGTCCATCATTACATTATTCCAAAATTTCATCATTTCAACATTAAATAATTACATCATTGCAAAATGTTATAATTTCAACATTACATCATTCTAATATTGCATCATTCCACCATTTCAATATTCAATCACTTCAACGTTCAATCATTCCAATATTCCACCATTCCAATATTCAATCATTCCAACATTCAATCATTCCAACACTCCATCATTCCAATATTCAATCATCCCATAATTCAATCATTCCAACATTTCATTATTACATCATTACATCATTCCAACATTCCACCATTCCAATATTCAATCAGTCCAACATTCAATCATTCCAACATTCCACAATTCCAATATTCAATCATTCCAACATTCAATCATTCCAACACTCCATTATTCCAATATTCAATCATTCCAATAGTCCATCATTACATTATTCAAAAATTTCATCATTGCAACATTAAATAATTCCATCATTGCAAAATGTTATAATTTCAACATTACATCATTCCATCATTCCAATATTCCATCATTCCACCATTCCAAAGTTTCATCATTTCAACATTAAACCATTACATCATTGCGAAATCTTATAATTTCAACATTCCATCACTTCAACATTACATCATTCTAACATTCCAACATTCCCAAACTTCATCATTCCAAAAATCTAAAGGTCCATAAGTCCACTATTCCAAAATTTCAAAATGAATACCAAAATTCCAGTACGAATACATAGATCTATCTTTCGTACGTTTTAATTAGAATAATTATCCTAAATGTCTTAATCCGATCTCGCAATTGATCAAATGCAAAATTCAAATTTATACAGCAACAATAAATTACGGATCAAAAATGTGCATGTCTTTATACCGAAATAGACTAAGCCCGCTTAATTGTTCACACGATCAGCTTAATTTAAAATTTAATGAACTGTTATTAAATTTCAAATTACGTAAAGTGTTTTTATCTCGGTAATAATCTTGGTAACATTGTACCTCCTACAGCCATCGGCAATTAATCTTTCCCTTTCACGCGTCTCGTCTACGAGAAAATATTAATTGAACGGATTAACAAAGTGTTCGTAATCGTTCTAAAAATTCATCGGAGGAAGCGATCGTCAATTAGCCGTCGTTTTCAATAAATCACAAACACAATTTATTATCATAAATTTGAATTCAACTTGGAGAAGAACGATAACATCAGTGGTGAGAATCCGAGAATCAAGGCTGGAATAATTTTATCGTTCAAAAAGCACGTTACTGTACAAAAATTGTTAATCAAGAAAAGGAGGTCTCGAATCGAAGGATATGTAATTATAATAATTATCCCGTGATGAAATAAATCAATTTAACGCATATCTACGGGGATCGATAATTAAAAGTGATTAATCGGATAAAATTGCAGATATCGATTGTTAATCAAAATTAAGCTGGCCTGTCAAGTTACCCATTCGTTGTTGTCCAAGATAATTTACAACGGAAAAAGTATTTATTTGATTCTGTTGCCGTAATCAAGTTCCGTCGCGTTGTAATTAAGAAGATAACGTGTGCTGATCTATCATCGATAATTGAACGAGTGATTGGAATAAGCAGGTGGAATAACTCGTTGCCTATAGATCATGCATTTTCAAACAATTTATCCGTGTGAATCTGACCCTTGTACAACACTACTCGCATCTTTTAATCATTTACTCACATTTAGAGGGATTTATGGAGAGGTGTGCGTATGTACACTCGAGAGCAGCACGAGATTCGTTTAGGTGAAAGTAAATGCAGAAAAGTGAAATCTATTTGATACTCACTTTGAGAACTTCAAATTTCTGTTAGAACATGCTCTTTAATTCGAAAATTTTAATTAGAACAATTTAACTGCAAGATTTGGAAATTTATGTTCTTGAAACATTTTATATTTGTATATAAATTTAGGATTTTTAAATTTTTTGAATTTCTGAATATAAAATATATGTAAATAGAAAAGGGAGAACATTACATTAGAAAATTTGCAAATTTTTCTGTTTAAAATTTTTTAAGGACAAGTTTGGACATTTTCATCTCAAAAATTGATAAATTTCTGAATTTGAAAATCCATAAATCTTTAAAATTGTGTAACAGTGAAAATTTAAAGATTTTTGAATTTCTGTAATTGAAAATTTGTAAATTGCTAAATTGGAAAATTTCTAAACTTTGGAACTTGTAGAATGACTAAATTTGAGGACTAAAAAATTTCTAAATTTTGGAACTTTAAAATTGCTAAATTTGAGGACTTGAAAATTTCTAAATTTTAAAACTTATAGAATGACTAAATTTGAGGACTAAAAAATTTCTAAATTTTGGAACTTTAAAATTGCTAAATTTGAGGACTTGAAAATTTCTAAATTTTGAAACGTGTAGAATGACTAAATTTGAGGACTAAAATATTTCTACATTTTGGAACTTTAAAATTGCTAAATTTGAGAACTTGAAAAATTCTAAATTTTAAAACTTGTAAAATGACTTAATTTAAGAACTAAAAAATTTCTAAATTTGGAACTTTAAAATTGCTAAATTTGAGAACTAAAACATTTCTCAATTTTGAAATTTCAAAATTGCTAAATTTGAGGACTTGAAAATTTCTAAATTTTCGAACTTACAAAATGATTAAAAGAACTTTCAAATGTCTATATTTTGGAACTTTAAAATTGCTAAATTTAAGAACTTGAAAATTTCAAAATTCTTAACCTTGCAAACTAAAAAATCAATAAACATAAAACTTCACAAAAGTCTAAAATCAAAAACTTAACAACCTTATAAAAATTTGCAAATATTTGAAAGTTTCCCAATTTCAAAATTACAAAATTTATACAATTTCAAAAGTAAAAATTTATAATGTAGTCCAAATACATTCCAAATCTGTAAGGTAAGCAATGACTTATGAAAAGGAGTGTACACGTAACATTGAAACATATACTCCACAAAAACAATCTGTTGAACATAGCAGATTTAATTGATTAGACCTCGAAGCAGTCCAACTGAATGAATTATACTGCTTGAGATTAATAGCAAGAGATAAGGTCTAAATCGCGTAAATGCGATACCTTCGAATGATTTTTAAGGTTATGTGTTCCAATAACACTGTCTGATGGACCTATTCGTTTATAATTTGTTTGAACGAGCTCTGTACCTGAGATAATCTGACAAAAATGATTTGTTACACCGAAAGAAGAATCACGAAATGTTCTTCTATTTGAGCGGTAAATATGGCGTACTTTTAGGTTAATTTATGAAATTAAGAAATTTTTTATTTTTGAACATTTAAATTTAATGAAAGTCAAACATTTAAGTTTAATAAAAGAATATATGAAAATTCGGAAATTTGTTTCGAGTAAAGATTGGAAATAATTAGAAACTTGAAAATTTATGAATTTAGTAAAATAAAAATTTTCGAATTTAACGAACTGAAAATTCGGGTATTTAGAAATGTGAAAATTGAGAAATTTAATGAACTAAAAATTTGAATACTCAGAAATTTGAAAACCTACGAATTCGGTACATTGAAAATCTGGATATATGGGGATAATAATTTAACAAATGTAATAATTTAAAAGTTCTGTATTTTAGAGATATATCTTTGAAAATGTAGAATTTAAGAATTTTCCAAATTCCCAAGTTCTCAAATTTAAAAACTTGTATAATTCGATGTCTAACTTAAAAATTTGCAAATTAGAAAATTAAAAAGTTTGCATCTCTCTCTGCCATGTCCCTAAAAAGCCTACGCACAATAAACATTCTTGAACATAGCTCGCATTTCTCTACAAGAGAAACAAACATAAACCACAAACCAGCCATAAAATCGAGCGCAAAACTTGCCAAATATACACGATCGAGCAAATTGCGAAGGAACCATAAGATTCAATCGGCGCCAATTACGGTAGAAAATTCTCGACAGGATCGTTGTTTCCTCTCTGTTTCACTCCCCTCGTAAACATAAACTCGATTAACGAAACAAAAGCAAATCAAAAGAACCTTATCCCCAGCAGACAGACCAGTTGCGTCCTCCTCGCGAGGGGTGTAATCCTTTCGCGTCTAACTGGTTCGGGAAGCACGCAGGATGCGCCAGGATACCACCGACACACGCTCGTTGGATCATTAAATGTGCACGTACGTGGCTCACACTCACATGGAGGCGTTATATTTGTGGCCGTGCTGGATTACACGCAGACACCAATCGTTCGTAGCCCCGTCTAGACAGCCGTCAGACGTATTATTGGGTTCGGTAACTCTATGCTACATAGTTATCGCGTCACGCGCATATGTCGTCGGTAGAACACGCGCGAGCGCAGCCGAGTATGCGAAGGAGTACTCGTCGTTATGTCTACAGTGCCATTCATAAACGATGTGTTTTGATCGTGTTCTATCTTGTATTTGTTATTGTTACGTTGATATGTCAGTCGTTGCTTTTTTTATTGCTGTTGATATTGTCATTGCTATTGCTCCTGTTATTGCTATCAAGATCACTATTAATATTGTTGTGTATGACTGACATTAATACTGATATTGTAGGTGTTATTGTTATTGCTGCTGCTGCAGTTATGGTTATTGCTATTGCAATTGCTATTACTATTGCTGTTGTTATTGCTATTGCAATTGCTATTACTATTGCTGTTGTTATTGCTATTACTAATGCTATTGCTATTGCTACTGACACTGCTATTGCTATTGCTATTGCTATTGCTATTGCTATTGCTATTGCTATTGCTATTGCTATTGCTGTTGCTGTTGCTGTTGCTATTGCTACTGCTGTTGCTACTGCTGTTGCTATTGCTGCTGCTATTGTAGTTACTGTTGCTATTGCTGTTGCTACTGCTGTTGCTACTGCTGTTGCTACTGCTGTTGCTACTGCTGTTGCTACTGCTGTTGCTACTGCTGTTGCTACTGCTGTTGCTACTGCTGTTGCTACTGCTGTTGCTATTGCTGTTGCTACTGCTGTTGCTACTGCTGTTGCTACTGCTGTTGCTACTGCTGTTGCTACTGCTGTTGCTACTGCTGTTGCTACTGCTGTTGCTACTGCTGTTGCTACTGCTGTTGCTACTGCTGTTGCTACTGCTGTTGCTACTGCTGTTGCTACTGCTGTTGCTACTGCTGTTGCTACTGCTGTTGCTACTGCTGTTGCTACTGCTGTTGCTACTGCTGTTGCTACTGCTGTTGCTACTGCTGTTGCTACTGCTGTTGCTACTGCTGTTGTGCTGTTGCTACTGCTGTTGCTATGCTGTTGCTACTGCTGTTGCTACTGCTGTTGCTACTGCTGTTGCTACTGCTGTTGCTACTGCTGTTGCTACTGCTGTTGCTACTGCTGTTGCTACTGCTGTTGCTACTGCTGTTGCTACTGCTGTTGCTACTGCTGTTGCTACTGCTGTTGCTACTGCTGTTGCTACTGCTGTTGCTACTGCTGTTGCTACTGCTGTTGCTACTGCTGTTGCTACTGTTGCTATTGCTGTTGCTATTGCTGCTGTTGCTACTGCTGTTGCTACTATTGCTATTGCTATTGCTATTGCTATTGCTATTGCTATTGCTATTGCTATTGCTATTGCTATTGCTATTGCTATTGCTATTGCTATTGCTATTGCTATTGCTATTGCTATTGCTATTGCTATTGCTATTGCTATTGCTGTTGCTTTTGCTGTTGCTTTTGCTGTTGCTTTTGCTGTTGCTATTACTATTGCTATTAACACCAATGTTGATATTGGAGCTGCTCCTCATATTTATATTACTATTAATATTTCTATTGCTGTTACTATTGTTGTTGTAATGGACGTTAGTATTGTTGTTGCTATTGTTGGTGGTTCTACTATTAGTGTTTATATTGACATTGTTGTTATCAGTAATAATAACAGTCCATCATAGTGAATATTGCTATCGCTGATTAATATTAATAGTGCTGTTGCTACTGCCACTGTCGCTACTATTGCTATTTGTACTACTGTTGCTATTATTATTACTATTATTTGTTCTGTTACTGTTGCTATTATTGTTACTATTACTGTTTCTATTACTGTTGGCTCTTGCTGCTATTGTTGCTGTTACTGATGTTGTTACTGTTGTTGTTACTGTTGCTGTTACTGTTGCTGTTACTGTTGCTGTTACCGTTGCTGTTACCGTTGCTGTTACTGTTGCTGTTGCTGTTGCTGTTCCTGTTGCTGTTGCTGTTGCTGTTACTGTTGCTGTTACTGTTGCTTTTACTATTGTTGTTACTGTTACTGTAGCTGTTGTTGCTGTTACTGTTGCTGTTACTGTTGCTTTTACTATTGTTGTTACTGTTACTGTAGCTGTTGTTGCTGTTACTGTTGCTGTTACTGTTGCTTTTACTATTGTTGTTACTGTTACTGTAGCTGTTGTTGCTGTTACTGTTGCTGTTACTGTTGCTTTTACTATTGTTGTTACTGTTACTGTAGCTGTTGTTGCTGTTACTGTTGCTGTTACTGTTGCTTTTACTATTGTTGTTATTACTGTTGCTGTTACTGTTGCTGTTACTGTTGCTGTTACTGTTGCTTTTACTATTGTTGTTACTGTTACTGTAGCTGTTGTTGCTGTTACTGTTGCTGTTACTGTAGCTGTTGTTGCTGTTACTGTTGCTTCTACTATTGCTATTACCGTTACTGTAGCTGTTGTTAATGCTATTACTGTTTCTCTTACTGTTGGCGTTATTGCTGCTGTCATTGCTATTGCTATTGTTCTTAACAGTAATACAGATATTCATATTTACATTAATATAGTTATTGTTTCTGCTAATACTACTAATGCTGGTATGACCATTTGATCTTGATATTACTTTGGCTCTGTCTATTCGATATTGACATTGCTATTGTTGTAATTATACTTGATGTTCAGATTGCTATTGATATTGCTCTTGACATGGATATTAATACCGATATTGTTTTGCTGATAACATTGTTATGAATACTATTGTAAATGTTTTGGCTTTTTATATTGCTATTTTTGTTTATGTTGATATTGATATTGATAATGGAAAATAATATACTGAAGGGACACTGACTATGAGCAGTGTTATAGTTACAACTAAGCATTGCTAGACGAGGTTCAGCTGACATAACCGTCGCTAATTACCAACCCGGCTTGATTGCCACACTAAATCGGCCCGATGCATCTTCCACACATACATGTACAAACGAGTATGTATATGTGCCATGTGCATTAGCGCGTGCATATGTGCACACAATGTGCATACTCGACACTTATCCACGTGCACGTTTCGCAGAGACATTTCGCTTCTCCTCGTCTTCCTCCAGAAAATAACAATTGACAATTTCTAAAATCGACCAAATTTAAATTAAGTAATGTTTCAAAAAATTTTTTATTTAATTCATGTATAAATTACATATTTATATGATCTTCGTTAGGAGAATTATATAACTGTTTAGTCTTTTCAGATCAATAATAAAAAATCAATAATATAAATGTGTAGTATTATATAATATTTTTAACTTATTATTATTATTAATATATGTTCTTATTAATATGTTCATATTAATATCTATTTATAAATATTAATAATAATAATTCGTGCTATTAATATTAATATTACTGTCGATGTTAATCAATTTGTTCTACATATGAACGTATAAATAATTATATAATTGTTATGTAAATTCCCTCTTTGCAATTTAAATTATATCCTCATTTTTATTAATATATCTGACGCAACGTCGATCACCGGTTACGATATAATTTACTAAGTGATTAGAATAATTTTGAATACTATTAAAATTACTTACCACTTGTAATCAATGTTAATTTCAATTTTTCTATTCACTTACATATTACTTTATTTTTATATACTTTTACGTCATCTATTTCTAAAGAAACAGTATAATTTATTTACGAAACGCATGTAGTGCGTCATTGCTTAAAATCAACAAACAATACAGGACGCACACGGTGCGTCATCACCATCAATGTAAATTTTTTAATACAAAATTTAGTAGATGAAAAAGAAGTTTCATAATAACATTTATGGGAATAATCTCTCTTTTATTATGTCATTAAACATACTTACCTTCATATTTAATAAAAATTAAGTATTTCAACTTTGTACAACTTTACAAATCGACCTCGATGACAATTTCACAAATCACAATTTATTTCCCACACGAAAGTGTGTCCGGAGCTTCAAGTTAACCCGTTTAACAAAAATCTGAAAACGTAAGAACATGAATTATACATGACGCACACGGTGCGTCATCACCATCAATGTAAATTTTTTAGTTAAAAATTTGGTGGATAAAAAAGAAGTTTCATAATAACATTTATGGAAATAATCTCTCTTTTATTATGTCGCTAAACATACTCACCTTCATATTTAATAAAAATTAAGTATTTCAACTTTGTACAACTTTATAAATCGACCTCAATGACAATTTTACAAATCACAATTTATTTCCCACACGAAAGTGTGTCCATAGCTTCAGGTGAACCCGTTCAACAAAAAACTGTAAGAGCATGAATTATACCTAGATCAATTTACGGAACGTATCATCATTTTCCCATCTGACCGGTCATTTCGTAGGAGTTCAATAAAAGCGCGCGAAAATCACGGTCGAACGTCATTACACATTGTAGAGGCACAACAAGGCTCGCACTTTGTGCAAGTAGCGAAGGATGTTAAGTCATCAAGAGGCATGGTGGACAAAATAGATCGATGACTCGTGAAATCCTTTGAGCGCGCAACGGCGAGAAAAAACGTGGCGACGGGTAAAACGTCGACGAGGACATTCTCGTACTTGCCAGCCGTGCACACGTGCCGTAATTATCCATTCCTCCAATTTGCAAACTTATATGTAATTCAAATCGGTGCTCGGCCGCCGGCTAATGCAATAATAATGACTTCGTGGAAATTTCCGTAGCCGGATGCCGCGTACACAAACCTTGCGGAACACATGACGCTAACGCTCGAGGAAATTCTGCTTTGAGCCAAGCGAATCGAACTAACAGTTTAGTTCGGTGATTGTGAAATTCGATCGGAATTCAAGTTTATGATCGTTGGTCGTAAAAATTATCAAAATTGTCGGTTGCACCGAAACGGAACCGGAGATAATGATACCGACTGTTACGCGGCGATTATTAGTAGTTGGGTTCGAGTACCGATCACAAATTTTATTAATTAAAAATGATTTGTGGCATAGAAAATAAAAATTAACTAAGTGGAATAACAGTCGGTAAAAAACAGGTGGGTTGTGATGGTGGAAGACAGGAGGGCACGGTGAAGTGTCGGTGGATGTCGATGCGCAAGCTATGCGTAACGACGCGATATGAAGATGGCACGGATATTTGGAAAACTAGAGATTTTTTTAGAGATATGGATTTTTCAAATTTGTTGGGACTTAGGGACTTGGGCATTTGGGGATTTGGGGATTTGATAATTTAGGGACTTAGGGATTTCAACATTTGAGAATTTAGGGACTTGGGGATTTGGGGATTTGGAGATTTGTGGATTTGGGGATTTGGGATTCTGAGGATTTGGAGTTTTGAGGATTTAGGAATTTGAGAATTTAGAGATTTTGGGACTTAGGGATTTGTGAATTTGGAATTTTGAGGACTTGGGAATTTGGGGATTTGGGGTTTTGAGGATTTGGGGATTTGGGAATTTGGGGATTTGGAGATTTGGGGATTTGGGGATTTGGGGATTTGGGGATTTGAGAATTTAGGAACTTGGAGATTTGGGGATTTGAGGAATTGGGGATTTGAGAATTTAGGGACTTGGAGATTTGGGGATTTGGGGATTTGAGAATTTAGGGATTTGGGGATTTGGGGTTTTGAGGATTTGGGGATTTGGGGATTTGGGGATTTGGGGATTTGGGGATTTGGGGATTTGGGGATTTGGGGATTTGGGGATTTGGGGATTTGGGGATTTGGGGATTTGGGGATTTGGGGATTTGGGGATTTGGGGATTTGGGGATTTGGGGATTTGGGGATTTGAGGATTTGGTAATTTGGGGATTTGGGGATTTGAGAATTTAGGGATTTGGGGATTTGGGGTTTTTTGGGATTTAGCGTTTTTGGAGCTTTGGGGATTTGAGGTTTTGGGGATTTAGGGATTTGGGGATTTGGGGATTTAGGGGTTTTGGCACTTTGGGGATTTAGGGTTTTTGGAGTTTTGGGGATTTGGGGAATTGAGGATTTGGGATTTGGGGATTTGGGGATTTGGGAATTTGGGGATTTGGGAATTTGAGGACTTGGGATTTTGAAGACTGGGGGGATTTGGGGATTTGGGAATTTGGGGACTTGGGATTTTGAAGACTGGGGGGATTTGGGGACTTGGGGATTTAGGGATTTGGTAATTTGGTAATTTACTATCTTACTAATTTAGTAATTTAGTAATTCAGTAATTTAATAAATAATTCGGTAAATAATAATTTGGTAATTTGGTAATTTGGTAATTTGCTAATTTAATAATTTAGTAATTTAATTGTTTAGTAATTTGGAGTTTTGGTAACTTGGTAATTTGGTGATTTAATAATTTGGTAATTTGGTAGTTTGATGATTGGCAACTAGATCATGTGATAATTTGGTAATTTGATTATATGATAATCTGGTAATTTAACAATTTAGTAATTATAATAATTTGACAATTTGTGTAGCTGGAAAATTAGAACTTCTCAAACATAAATTTTTCAGATTTATATACTATCAAATTTGGAAATTGAAAATTTAGGAATATAATAATTGAAGAATTGAAGAATTGAGAAATTGAAAAATTGAAAAATTGAAAAATTGAAGAATTGAAGAATTAAAAAATTGCAAAATTGAAAAATTGAAAAATGAAGAACTGAAAATTGAGTAATTGAAAAATTGAGAAGTATAAAAAACTAAAAGTTGAAAAAGTATCAAATTCATACTCTGGGAAAAGTGGAAATTCTCGATTTGAAAAAAGTAACCCCCTTTCTTTTATCTGTTATACTCGGAGAATGAACTCAGGCCCATTTTTGTTATTTTATTAAATAATTATTTCGGTCTCAATCTCACCTCTCATTTTTAATCCAAAGCTAGTCTACAAATACCTAAAATTTTCAACTTCTTAAGTGTGAAACTCTCCTATTCCGTTAGCATCGAAATTATCAACACACATTCGAACCGGGGCATCTTGGAAAAGTGCGGCGCACGTAATAACCGACGAGCGCGTTTACCAATATCGCGTGCAAGTTGCGCGTTATTTTTGCCGGTCGAGGAAGAGGCACATTCGGGACTTTCTGGAGCTCGTCTGAATGGACGTGCCTATTTATAGACACACACGCAGGAAGAAACGGCGATCCGACATCGTCCAGCTGAATGAACGGTTACGTATCTGCGGGCTGAAATCATTTCACGTGATCGATCATCACGCTTTCCGGTTCCCAGAACAGGAAAGCATTCAGGTAGAAGACGCACGAAGGGCACCGTGTGCATTTATAATGCATTAGGGGTTTGCTTCTCTTCCTTTTTTTCGTGGTGCTGAGTGGACGACTTTCGCGTCCATCTTGTATGCATCAATGATGCTTCTTGTATTTTTCTTTCTATATACACATTTTTATTTTGCGTACGATTGGATGACGGCTACGGACATTAAGACGGAACGAGCATCCGGCCAATTTCTTCGAGTAAATCGATACATTGTAACTGAAAGGAATCAGAGTCGTTAAATGACACGTTGCTTTGAACCAAAAGCAATACAATATTCGATTATCGTGATACGTAATTGATAATTGGTATGCACTCGCCGGGTAAACGTTTAAGATCACTCTTGTTTTAATCGATTATACC